CTTTCACCTTCTAATATAATTTATCATTAAAATTTCATGACAGTAATAATATAAAATGTGAAATAAATTTCTACATAGAAACGAAATAGTATTCATCTCCGTAACTAGATATACCAGTGTAAAGTATCTTAATTAATTATCAATTATAATTCAAATCTTAAGAAGGTTGATATACCTGGAACATAATCTTATTTAATGACAAACTTATCGAGAATTATTTATCCTTAACCGATTTGTCTTCTTAATTCGATCTCTCAAAAAAAGAACGAACTTCACAGTATGATATAGAAGTAGAAATCGTCACTATTATTAAATTCATTAAGTAAATTAGCATAAATGAAAAGTTATATATATTATAGTTGTTCAAACTTTTGACCTAAATGAAGTCATATCTTGTATGAATTAACCGAAATGGGCAATCCCCTATTTGATTATACTGAAGAATTTATTTGTAACATAATTGCAATTAGTAACAGAAGGGGTTTTGTAGATTTTATAGTAATTTTAATAGTCGAGATTATGAGCCAATTGAAGCTAGACCACCATAGGGAACCTGGAAGCACTGGACGGCCGTTTCGTTCTAGTATGTGACAAGTGGAGTTCAACCGGTTCTGTTTTGAGATAGTAACTCATTGATGACAATGGTGGTTGTGTCTCTCAATTTCATAGACTAATTGAAGTTAGACACTAACAGCGTTAGAAGCCGGCTGGTCTAGAGGTTAAGCGTTCGCGTGCGAGACTGATAGGTCCTGTGTTTAGACCTCGCGAGGCGGGATGGTGGATGCGCACTGCTGAGGAATCCTACAATGGGATGAAACGGCTGTCCAGTGCTTCCAGCTTTTTATGGTTGTCTAAGTTCAATTGACTCATGATTTCAGTCAATGGACTTTCTAAAATCTCCACAAAACCCCTTCTGATATTAAAATAATTGTAATTGTCACTAATTGATGAGAGGAAAAAAACACAACTACATTTATAATTCATAAACTCCGATAACATATTATGTAACAAATAAAATGACCTCAGTTGGTGGTGAACCATATGCTTGTAACAAACTGATTACAAATTGGATAACTAAGTACCAATAAAACATTATATCTGGTAAGATAATTGAAAATATATCACTTCAGGATTTAATCTACTCCTCTCTGATTCCTTATCAAAATTCAATATAAATAATTAAGAATTGTAAAATTAAAAAAAAAACAAATAATAAAAACACTAACTAGATTGACGGCTAGATGTAATGATTAAGATATAAAATGGATTAAAATCCTATGGTAGTTAAAATGAACTTTTAAGGGTGAGTTTTCTTTCTTTCTTCTTCTTCTTCTTCTGCTTATTTTTTTAAGTTAAATTGAATAATTAGATATTTTATAATGAACATTTAAAAAATGGAATTGTTGCGTGTATTGTTAATGTAATAAATTTTATTAGTGATTGACAAACTATGTATTCATGATAATAAATTTCTTTATTGTTCTTTTATTATAATACTTGTTATTACTAATATATTTATAACAATACAAATGGACGTTTATAAAAATTCGATTGAATTATTGAAAACATAATGAAAAGCTAATAATAAATTGTATTTTCAATGTTTCGTGACTTGATTCAAGCCATTTCTTCAGAGTAATATTTCTACTCATTAAGATATAACCAAGTTAGACATTAACACCGTTGGATGCCGGCTCAGTGGTCTAGTGGTTAAGCGTTTGGCGTTCGAATCCCGAGAGGCGGGGTCGTGTATGCGCACTGTCGAGGAGTCTCACGATAAGACAAAACGGCCGTCCAGTTGTATGGACAAAATATATGTTGAATAAATGTTTTCTATATGTTTATATTTACATCCGTAACAGAATGCGATTCTATAGTAAAGTTAATCATGGAAAAAATCATCGACCGATTATACTTGGAGTAAATGAAATATTCTTTGTGAAAACAAGTCATTCTTGTCGAATCATTTTAGTTTTCTCACATTTGAATTCAAAGTACAGCGTTAAAAGAAAATTATTGAAACATGTGAATTATTTCATGATACTAATGCTTTTCTTACGAGTATAAACTAACATTCTTAAGTGTTATTTTTCTACTATTTCAAAATGTTGCCTTTGTATCAACGTGAAATCTTGAATCATTATTTTACACATAATGTTGACTGTGAATTTTTAATCAAAACTTTAGCAGATAATGCAATTTCATCTTGGTTAACATTTTACGTAGTTGACATAGCAGCTAACAGTACACCACTTAATTGCTATGCAATATACATTTTAAATAATTAATAACAAGGTATTAAATATTAAATCCCCACAAAGTTTTGTATGACTTTTGATATTATTTCAATCTTTAATTAGCTATGTGAAAACAAGCTTTTCAGCTTATCTTTTAAGTTTAATCAATTTTGAAATCTATATTGACAAGCAACACCTTTCTCAACTAAATATTAACAGGAATGACTTTTTCAATAATTAAACGATCATTTAAATGTGATTTAAAAGGTTTCTTGATGTAGGCAAAACTATTCATATTTCAGAAAATAATTCTTTTACATAAATTTCTCTTTGGTTTACGTCATAATGAGCTTATGGATGTTAGTGATTGACATTGACAAAGTTTATATGGAAATACTTGACTATATGACTGAATTAAGCCTAATCGATATATATTTTACAATACATATTGTTGGCAATTGTTTGATCACTGAGTAGTGAACATTATTATATATATCAAGTACATCTTAATTCTGACTGAATTCCATCAGTCACTAGTCTGAGTGACTCGACATCGCATGCACGGTATATAAACTTAATTTAAATGAATGAGGCAAATTATTAAAGCAATAGCCTATAAATTATTTCAATTAATTATTTTACTGATCTGAAGGCTACTTAGGTTATTAAATGTTAATCTATGAATAGTTATATTTAATTTTTTATAAGCAGTTGCATAGAAAGTTTTGTTTATAATCATTTTAAAATTTATTTGGAACATGAAACAGTTCAATTATTAAAATGTATATAGATATTTATAGAAAATGGATCACGTCTAATATACACTAATAAGACAAAAAGTTCAAATCTTGAAAAAAAGAAAACCAATAACTTTATCGCAAAAGTTAATAACGCTGACGAATATCTATTTAAAGATGACATAGCTAAATACTCTTTAAAAAAGATGTCTATAGATGTCTAACTTGAAAATTTTTCTTAAAATTAACTTTCAAGTGATTATCTTTCGTAGATGATGCACTCAGTTTCTCTTAATCGTTTGGTATGTTCATTAATCGTTCGATGATGGTTTTTCTCAGGATGATTAAACAACATCAAAATGCACACTTGTAAAAGCTTATCAGATGGTCGATACGGAATCCAATAAATAGATACAGATCATTCTGTCTAAATAGATTCATCGTTGAAAGACATCAATTAATCAATAGAGATTATTTCTTTCTTCCACAGATTAGAAATCTTAAATACATTTAAGACTAAATCTAAAAAAATAATTCAGTCATTCGTAGACTATGACCATATCTTTTCATTCTGTAGCACCATCAACTCTTCTTTCCTACTTTTTACGATTTAACGGACATATATTCTTTCCTATTTGTTTTTTGATTACATTTAATTTCAACACACAAATTTTTTTTCAAGTAATTATATTCACAGTTGAATTCACGAGTTGATCTAAGCTAGACCACCATTATAAACCTGGAAGTAGTGAAAGGCTGTTTCGTCTTAGTATGGAGCTCCTCAGCAGTGCACATCCACGACTTCGCACATGGGACTGGCATACGAACACTTACCAATAATATATTTATAACAATCTACCCAATGCACAAGTTACTCCAAATTATCAAGTCAAACCTTGGTAATGATACCTACTACCGTTTATCATTGTGGCTGTAAATCCATGAGAATCAATCGGCTAAAAAGATAGCTCTTTCATAAATCACTACATTTTATTTTGTTTCAAAAAGTGCTTTCTACCTAGTTATGTAGTAAATCATAGTTAGGATTCAACTAAACTGAATAGTATTGTTTCATTCTACTTTAAAAATCCTAATAGTTTTGAAATACCTTGAAGATAAAACCAGTTGTGAAACTAGAAGTTTAGGGTTACCAAGAGCTAATAAACGATACCGAAATAAATGTTTCCAGTAAGACCGAGAATTAAGAAAACAAGATAAATATACATTGATAATTCTTATTAGTGAAAACATTCAAATGTAAAGTGATATTATAACATTCTTATCAGATATACCAGAGTTATGACGTTTTGTAGATAATGGAAAGATTCTCATGACAGTCAAAAGAACGAACTTACCATGGTATAAATTAACAAAGATTTTCAGTATCAGGTTTTGGAGGTTGTTGAATTTCACTGAAATCAGTGATCGATTCAAAGTAACCGGACGACCACTTCATCCTAGTACGACACTTCTCAGGATTGAGTGTCCACGACCCCACATTTGGGAAACAAACATTAGACATTCTGTCTCTCCGAGGTTTGAGTACGAAGCCATGAAAAGTGGTGTTGAACCATGTTGGTTGCGAAGTATTTATTCACTGCAAGCTATATAATTAATCGTGTGAATTTAGGCATGTAAACCATTAGATATCGACTTTTTGGTCTATTGGTTAACCTTTCGCAGCTGAGAGAGGTCCTGGATTCAATTCCCAATTGAGGGGTTGTGGGTGTACTCTCCTGAAGAGTTTTATGCTAGACCAAAACGGCCGTAAAATGCTTTCACGTTTTCAGTGGTTATATAAATCTGATCGGTTTATAATTTCGATGTAATTTAACAGACAATCAATCCATAGGCTGCTTTAAAAGAGGGATAGATTTTTGCACTTGAGATGTGAAATGTTTGCAACGAAATAATTCTTATGCTCCTTCTTTACTTCCTTTCGCTATTATTTGTCGATTATTACTAAGCGAAGTTATCATCCAGTTTCCAGTCAATTCATTAAATTCATTTTTATTTTGTTTTTCAGGAAGCCTCCGAAATTACTATACTGTCTCTAAAAGAGGCTGAGATACTTCGAGAAAAAGTAAAAAATGAATGTGAACTCAATAGAACATTGGACGGTGAGAATTGTTTTTTATTGTTTATCTAAATGTACTATTTATAGGAAATGTGTAATTATAGCTTTCAAGTATACATTGATCTGTTTCAGATCATACTAATAAAATGCATAAAGATCATAGAAATTAAGTAGCGGTTTATCATTTTAAAAATTCAATATGCAGGAAAATCAATTATGTGAATATCACTTATCAAGAAAATAATTTTAGATCTATACAGCCACATATTTAACTTGTCGATTGCAAAATAGTTAGATCTGTAATACGGATCAATTGAATTTCAATTAGTTAGCAAATGAATGATTTATGTTAATGGTTTTAATTCTCTGCCAAAAATTCATTTATACACAGTTGGTGAAACGGAATTATACGTGTAAGCTGATCATAATCACGAAAGCTGCTTTGTGCATTTCGTGAAAAATGCAAAAAGAGATTCCATGAGGCATTTATCACATGGATATTCTTACTTAGAACTTGATTCACTTATGACTGGCTAATATAAATTGAAAACAGCATGATTTACAGACAAAATCACATAAAGCGCTTACCACACATGTGTTAGATTTTATATGAACTAGAATTCTAGTGAGAAGCCGTTACCAGTAGAATTCAACTGTGTCGGATTTAAGGCAGCTATCTATCAAAGACATTGGAAATTATCCCATAATATTGTGTTTTATTTGAAGCTAGACATGCACACCGTTAAGCGTCGGCTAAGTGTTAAAGTGATTTAGTGTTTACCTCAAGATTGAAGGTTCTGGTCTCCATCACTGGTTGGAAGATCACGATTACACACTTCCGAGGAATCCAATACTAGAACAAATCAGTAGTCTAGTGATTCCAGGTTTCTAATCAAAGTCTGACTATGGTTAATAACATTCAATGATCTTCACAAATCTTTATACTGAGTTGGAATTCCTCATTTTCTTAAGTTTTAATAAATTCTCATCGAAGTCATGTTATTATGGACTTATTTAATAAGAACTACTCTTTTCGTGTAAATTATATGAATAGATTAAGAGCTTCTTTTATATGTTTCGAAATATGTTGTCTAAAAATAACATTTCATTTAATTCCCTAATAGTCTGTTTGATGGTAATGTAAATGCGTAGGGAAATCATTTGTACAATAATTTATAATTTGTTTGAGAACACAAAGATATACTGATGTTTACTAGAATGAATGAGCTTTTATCGCAAAAATGGTCAATTCCATGAAAACATGAAACACCTGTACATCTAATTAGCAAATAAAATCAAGACATGTAGATAATTTATATTCTTTAAAAACGTTTTACCAGATCCTACAGTTGTATAAGCAGATTAATGTTCACCGAAGTTTTGTCTATTATAAGATAAATACAATCTTCGAAAATAACAGTATGTAAATTAAGGATTGTTAGTAAATTAAGTACCATCATAGTTTACTTATTCTGAAAACCCATTGATCCTTCGTAAAATTTATGAGTTGGTTAACTAAACGTAACGTAATTACTCAATGTGATGACACATAAATTCAGTACTTATGCAATTGATCGCACTTTGAAGTATGTTTTTTTATTCACGTTAATTAAGATTAATACATTTTGTCGATTTCGTTCATAAGTTTTAAGCGATAGGGAAAGTATGTATGTTTATTTTTCATAGTGATGACTAGTGTTTTTCATGGTCAACTATATTTGTAGTAAACATTCTCAAAATAATAAACATTGTCAGTAGTTTATTAGCAATATCTTAAATAGATAACAAAAATAGATAAGCTGACGTATTGTTAAAGTTGATGTTTAGACTGATTTTTTGATGTACAGTACTTAAGAGTGTAATCTTAAATCATTAGAAGTAACTTATGATTGAGAAGATTAATATTTGGAAGAGGTTTTGTGAAGATTGTAGTAATTTCAATAGTTCAGACCATGAGTCAATTGAAGCTAGACCACCATGGAAAACCTGGAAGCACTGGACGGCCGTTTCGTTCTATTGTGGGACTCCTCAGCAGTTGGTGAGAAGCAGTGATAAGTGGAGTTCAACCGTGTCTCTTGTGAGAATAAATCACTGATGACAATATAGGATGTGTCGCTCAATTTCGAAGACTAACATTTGTAAAATAATCTAAATTTATTATATTTCGAAACATTTAATCATCTACTAATTACCATAAGTTACAATTAATACCATTGTTATAAATAAAAGTGTTTCATACCGTAGTAAGTGAAGCTAGGTTCAGAAAGATTAAGAAAAATACGAAGTGAAACGTTCGAGGGGCTACAACATATTCAACATTATTGTTAAGATTGAGTAGTACTCATATGTTGAGAAGACGTAACATATGTTATGTCATAAATAGTGATTGAAACAGAATAGATGCAAACAATTTTCGAAAATGACTGACAACATAATCAAGTCACCCAGGTGAATTGAATTTACAATTAACGTCATGAGTCAATCCTTGTGGTATATAAAATCAAATCAAAAGATTGTGTAATTGAAAAGTGGTACATTCTCATAGAAAAACATGTAGGTGCTTTTCTTTCCGTTCTCACGGTGTACAAGTACATTCACTTGATAATGACTTCGGAAGTATATGGATCCATTTGTGATTGATATTACATCATGGAGAAAGAGAGGCTGAAAGAAAAGTCTCATTTAAAATTTGCTTTAATCCTTTCATTAAAATCTCATTTCTCTGGTATCCAAGACTTATCTAGGTCACTCATTGAACATTTTTACTGTATTCAAAAAATAAATTTCTTTGCATATTAAATTTTTATAAAACTTTTAATGTATACGACTCTTCTCTTTCGTCGGCTGAATGCAACTTTCTAGCACTATTAAATATGATTTTAACTAAACGGCCTTTGTAACTAACAAGATGAAGGCTATTATAATTTCATTACAAAATATGCTTTTCTTGGTTGTTTTGTCGTTTAATCGTTTCTATGTTCAGACTTTTGAATTGCTTATTATAGACATCAATACTAATATGGGGCTTGATAGTTTAAAAAAATTGAGCATTGCGTTAAGAGTTAATAATAAATATATTTTTGTTATATCTCAATCAGTAAAAAGATTTACCTCCGACATTTCGTCATTTGATGTAGGCCACTTCTTCAGAATAAATAAATAATCGAAAGTAAGATAACAAAAGATTAACTAGTACAAAGGAGACAGAATTGATCACTACTTTAATATACTTTCATATGTTTCCTCAACACATAAAACAATTAGGAAGCATCATTTATATTATTACAAACAATAAATCCATCGACAATTTACCTTCTGTTGAATGTCATACATTTTTAATTTTCTACTATGGTTTGTTTGTTAACAGTTGACGATTTTCTAAACGAAAACATGGAAAGATCATTTATAGCTGTTAAGATACTCTTAAATATAATGAAATGTGCAAATCTTGTTTTTTAGTTTCATTTAAAACTATCATAGTATCAGGATGTACGGAGCTGGGATTTGTTTAAAAATTAAAACTCCAACTTTGTTCTCTAGCTACGACCAAACCATGTACATGCTTGTGAATATCATAGATTGGTCTACTAGTGAAATTAGATATTGTTGTTTAGGATAGATCAACTGAATTAATATATAGGGAACTGTTAATGAAGGAAGAAAACCGAATTATTGATTTGCGGTCTAAAGTAAGCGTATATTAAAATCCAAAATAGTCTAGCAACAAATAAGGCCTCATTTAACTCAGTTACACAGTTATGTACAAACATTTGATAAGAAAATAAACAAGAATAAATTTCATTTAAAGTATAAATTGTTGTGAGTTATGCATTTTATAGGCTACTTATTCAGCTCCTGAACTCAAGGTCTTTCTTTTATGCTGCCAGCCTTATAAAATATCTATAAATAAATGAAATAAAAACATTTCTCGGAGGAATAAGTGTAATGACTGCAGTAAAATGTTTCGGTGAAATTCTTTAGTGATAATTTCTAGTAAAGTACAACTAAAATCTATTCATAAAGACAAAGATAGGTTCTCAAACACTTTGGATAAAATAAAATAAGATCTCTGGTATTATATCTGATCATCCGTAGCTAATCGGTATCATGGAGAATATTAAACAAATAAGGACTCTATAAATAAATTAATATATATAAATTAAATTTTCCTACGTTTCCTGACTCATTGTAAGCCACTTCTTAGGAGAACAAATAACTAAATAAATAACTATTTATATATAGTAACTAAAGACTAATTCAGAAGGTTGCCAGAGTACACAGTTACTTCTTTTCAGTTTTTTTCATTGATGTTATAGTGTAACACCATTTAAAATCGTATTTTGTACTAAGGCATATGATACTAACCAGCTACCCAACATGAAATAAGACGCATTTTAAGCGATAAGTCAGATACAATTCCTGTATATTGGCTTTTTAACCAATCACTACATGAATTTTGTTTTATATCCAAGTCTACCTAATTATTTTCTTTTTTTAAAAAAAACAAGAAACTAAAAATACATCTAATATATAGTTCAATTATCTTGAATCCATCATAATTATTTAAATATCATGGCTTGTATTAGTTTTAAAATAAAATACATTCATTAACAAACTATTATTAACAAATAACAAAACACCTTGATTAAATTGTACATAGTTGTATGAACATCATTATAGAACACAATTCTGGACATTTCTTGTTCCAAATAGGACTACAATCAAACTGAAAAAAAGAAGTTAGAAATTAATATCTCTTTATGTATCCTTTAAAATGGATTGGCCGATTTGTGAAGAGAAATAATTGACTGAATTAGAGAAATAATCTACATTTACTGGAAAATAATTAGAAAAAAAAACAACAAACTAATCCACTTGAAAAGAAAATGTTTTGATCTTTAACATTCATTTCGTACAATTAGTTTATTGTATCTTTTCTTAAAGTTTTTGAAAACAAAAAGAAAAGAAAACTATAAACGGAAGCAAATGAAAATGTGAATTTTCATGATTGATCTCATTCTAAAACAATCATTAACTTCCGTTCATTCATCTGGTTAGTTTTTCTTTTAAACTTACCTGTTATTTACTATTGAATATCGTATGTTGAATAAGAAAGACATTGATTTCGAAACTATTATTTGAGTTAAACTATAATAATTAGAATTTTATTAAAAAATAGGACCTGTTGTGGTCGGTATTCAATATAATCCTTAAAATTCATATAAAGTTCGTCTTGATAGCCGTCAATAAATAACACCTCAACGGTGTATTAATCAGAAGGCAAATACTAAGTGTTGATTACATTTATTATTGCACCACGTACAGATAACCAAGATTACAGGTATGCTAAGCAAGTATGAGAAAGCAGTGCCGAAAAACAAGCGGGCAAGTGAGCAAGCGAATCGGATATATATATATATATATATATATATATATATACCATTTCAGCTGATTGACTTAACAGTCAGCGTTGATATCCTATTCTATGGTTCCATTTAATGGAACATATTTTTGTTTAGGTGATTTAGTACTCCTTATTTCCACTGGTAGCCTTAATGTGTTTTAATTTTCGGTTTTTTTTTGTTTTATAGAGAAATCTAAAATTTATTTTCAAACGGAATACTGTCTTACAGAATTTGATTCAGTATCTTGCTGGCCACCAACAAAGGGTGGAACAATTGCTAAAATACCTTGTCCATCTCATGTTCCAGGCGTTAAAATAACTGGAATGGTTTATCGCCCATGTAACCTAACTATCAAGACACAAGATTTAAATGGGAGAAACACTATTTTTTGGAAATTCGATAGATCCAATTATAGTGATTGTGTACATCATGAAGATATAATGGCGGTTGGTATATATACTGTTTCTATTGAAATAATTTATTATAAATTTTAAAGATTAAAATTCACTAGTCTACTCAGAAATCGCCTATAAATTGTAGCTTTTATGAGTTATGGACAATGTAGCTGCTAGTATATATCTGTAGATGACGTTTAAGAATAAATTAATTACAATCAAAAATTTGAAAAATACTGGAACTCCGAAAATTACTTATGGTACAAAAAATTAGTAATCAGCTTGGTTTTGCATTATGTTCATTCTCGTTAAGGATAAACTTGAATAGGTTCATAAAGTGAATTACAGACCAAACAATGAGTGAAACGCATATAAGTGAGGACTATGGTCTTCAGACAGATCTTCATCAAGATTTACTCTAACGTAGATGAATGTTTATGCGCATATATGGAAAAATATTCAGGTATTCAATGCTAATAATGAATGGATTGTATAACCAAATATAAATGGTGAAAGTACAAATTGTTAATAAAAAGACAGGTGTACAAGTAAATATCAGATCAATAAAATATTGTTTTAACCAGCAGTTCAAATACGAAAGTAAGTCAGAACTTGGGAAATGGAAATGAAGATAATGATCAATAAAAGCCATTAAAGTTACGTAATAAATGTATGGATTGTGAAAAAAATAAAAAATTATACGAATGGAAGAAAGTAGAGAAAAACAAATAAATACGGAATAGGAAAAATTAGTAATATGATTTATTGGGTCATATCCGCACAATGAAAGGATTTTTTCAGCACGTAAACAAGGGTTATTGGTTCCGATCCCTATATTTCCTGTTATATGTACGAGACGAAATCGAATCACACTGAGAAACGACATATTATATGATATATAAAAAGCAATTCGTAACACTCCTTATCCCTCGAGTAGCTTGATATAGCGTAATAAACGATCTTGCTAATTTCTTCCCATTCAATGTTTATTTATCATCCCCTATTCCGTTCATATTTCTTCATTGATAAATTTTTTGTAATATTCATTCACTCATATATAAGCCCATAGTTATCTTATGCAATTGTTAAATAAAATTACAATATCATAGTGAACTAAAATTGCCTAAAGATTCCTATACTTGTACTCCTTTTTTGTACAGCTGTAGGAAACGTTTAAATGTTATAATTAATCGTTTATATTTGCATCCATTTTGGTTATAGATCCATTTGCCTATCATACAAACTTCCGTATTTTATGGTTACGCAATATCTATGATTTTATTACTAATAGCTACAGGAATAATTTTACGCTTTCGGTAAGCCATAGTGTTTTGTTTTGTTCGTACTGGTCTATGGTAATTAAACTTTCTATATTGAATATCTTAGTAAAGCTAATGACTTTCTTGACTACATTACTCAAAACCATTCTGCCAAGCACACTCATTTTCCTATTCAAATTAGTGTCTAATACATTGTTTAGTACTAACTGATTTATGAGAAGTCACCGTAACAAATGTTAGAAAGACTGGCCAAAATTGTCGAAGCTAATTTTCATCGATTTGAACTCATGAATTGATCTTAGTTTCACAACCTATGAAAATCAGGAGACCGAAAATCACGGATTCTGTTCCGTGTAGTGATATATACTCACTTCTAAAAAGTCCTATACTAGGACGAAACTACCGTCTATCTCTGCCAGATTGTGAATGGGGGTAAAAATAAGATCTATTTATAATTTAAAAACTATGAAAACTCCCCAATCTCCCCCATACCTTATACTGATAAAACTAATTTCATAAATTTTGACGTGTTTAAATTATTTACGTTAATTTTTTGAAACATTGGTTTAAATTCAACTTCTGAAAGTTCAAAAAGTTACTACTGGACTTAATTTGTCTTGGTTATTCATGCGTTGATAAATACATTCTAATCAGATTGTAATAATTAATTGCATACAATATTATGTTAAATAGATTGTTCATGTCGGATGTATGATTTTCTAGTTCCCTTTTCAACGCAAGGATGTAGTACTTCAAAAAACGTCCAAATTTTAATGTTTTTGAAAGTTTGTTATTTTTTTTATGATTGCCACCGTATATAACATAGAATGGACAGTTAAGTAAACTGTGAATATTGGATTACTATTTGAAGTTTGGACTTTATCCAACTTACATTTTTACAATTTCTTCTACAGACTAGCTATATAATCTAAATATTTGATCATCTTAGACGGCAAATTAACACTACTGTAGTGAACAGAACACAGGTCGGGACAATCGAACATATGTAACAGCTAATTACAGAATTGGTTAGCAAAATCCAACAACCATATATTAAATCGTTAATTTGCAAATTGTTCACCAATTGTCTCAAATGATTCAGAATCCCTTTGTTCTTGCATTTTTATACAAATTGCATTCTTTCTTCATTCTTTATTGTCCGATCTTCTCATCTCTCTGCTGCCAGACATTCTGTTCAGTACTCACGTCATATACTACTTATGTCTACATAAGTAGCACACGCCACACTACGACTGTAATACATAATAATTACTGCCATTACTATATATAAAATACTCGCATCGATCATTAGTTGAACACGTAAAAGACGTTTTATATTTTAAACTAGAATGGGTTTTGTGGAGAATTGGTAACCTCAATAGTTGAAATCATGAATCAATTGAAGCTAGACCACCATGGAAAACCTGGAAGCACTGGACCGCCGTTTCGTCCTAGTATGGGACTCCTCAGCAGTGCGCATCCACGATCCCGCACCCCGCGGGATTCGAACCCAGGACCTATCAGTCTCGCGCCAGGCGCTTAACCAACTAGACCACTGAGCCGGCATCCAACAGTGTTAATGTCTAACTTGAACTAATCCACGAAGTTGCGTCACCGTCACCATTGTCTTCAGTGAGCTGATATCTCACAACATACCTGGTTGAACTCCACTGGTCACGGCTTCTCACTAGAACTCCAGGAATATCTCTCGAAGTCAGTCACTAGTGAGCAGATGATTATTACTAGAATGGGTTTTGTGGAGAATTGGTAATTTCAATAGTTGAAATCATGAATCAAATTTATTTTCTGACAAATCTGCATTTATTGAATGTAAACAATCAGTGCTAAATAACCAAAAAATATGAATCTGTAATTATTATATTATTCTAAGAATAACGCAATGAATTTAAAGTGACTAGTTCGTTTTTAAAAAAGAACTATGTTAAACTTCTGGCGAAACTATAATTTATGGACGAACCAATCAGATTTGAGATAACAGGTCTCAGATTTTAGCGCAAAATTCATACACACATTTGAATAAATACTATTTCGGCATTATGGCTGGTGTCAGTTCATGATGAAAACCATGAATCTAATTCTTAACCTTGGTCATCAACCGTAAATCGTAATTACAATTCCTCACATTGGTTTATAACCTTCATTTAGTCCTCGTTAATAGGTGAACATTTTCAAGGTCATCTTAGCGTTACTCATAGGTCATCCATAAATTATAGTCTTATCATATTAAGCCTACAAACTAGATAAACTCATTTTGACTTTAATTTTCTTAATCAGTTTAATAGAAAATATGATAAATAGGAGTAACTACAATTTCTACAAATATGGATAATACTACGTAATATGTAATCTAATCTCATATGATTCTATTCACTTTCGTTCATATTATTAAGGCATAATAAATGGCTTGATCTTATTATGCACTTAATTATTATTAATAAAAAATAAGATTCAAATGAGTAATGATTAAAATGTACACTGTTATCATATGTAATTGACTGAGTTAGTTCTTGTGTATTGATTATATGTAACTAATTGTTGAATTATGACGTATAGAAAAACCAATTTTAAATAAATGAGAAATAAGTGATTTTATAAAATTAAATAAATAATGTTTTTATCAGAAAGAGTTTTGTGGAGATTTTAGTAATTTCAATAGTTCAAATCATGAATCAATCGAAGCTAGGCCACCATGGAAAACCTGAATGCACTGGGCGACCTTTTCGATCTAGTGACTGACTTCAAGATGCATTTCCTGAAGTTCTAGTGAGAAGCCGTGACCAGTGGAGTTCAACCAGATCTGTTGTGAGATATCAACTCACTGAAGACAATGGTGGATGGTGGCGCAATTTCGTGGATTTGTTGAACTTGGACATTAATGTCGGCTCAGTGGTCTAATGGTTAAGCTCTCGCTCACGAGATTGAAAGGTCCTGGGTTCGAGTATCATGGGGGGCGAGATCGTGGATGCACTGTTCTGAGAAGTATTTTTAAAATATTTATCATGTAGTATCCAAGAGAACGTAGCAAACTTTCGAAGACATGGGAAAGCTCAATGTAATTAGCAAACTAGATTTTAGCTACGTTAACGAGATAATTTTAATACTATTCAGAATACATGACAAAGAAAAGAAATTGTCTATCTATTTTATAGCGAATGAAATGATTTCATCTTTGGAAACATATATTGATTTTAGCACTATATATTGTAACAGCCATCAAAAATGACCAAAAATTTAATTATGCTGAATTTGTTGTATTGTAATTTGCTACAACATATCTAGAAGATCATTATCCTTTATGACGGTGTTTAATATGTAAATAACTATATGACGAAATGAGTAAACGCATACAAATATTTTCGAATGAGATTGGCATAGTTTAAAACTCAAGCGTTTTTAGCCCTAACAAGTATAGAAATGTTTTTAGAATATCACATAAATAGTCAACTGTTCTATGGTCATCTTTATATTTTACACATTATTAGACAGGACAATGTAAACAAAAAGCACTATGAATTAGTTTTCAAAATAACCCAATCACAGTTCTAGATGTTTCAGCAGCCATCAGTGACAAAACATTTTCTTCACTCTTACATTAAACTGTTTTTAATGGTTTTAAAATCAAGAAGTAAGAAATCCCGGAAGTATTTTCAAATACAATAAAAAGTACGAAAGCCTTATTTAGTATCACCATCATTGGTGTTGCATTTTTCGTGCTACTTACTGGAACCTCATTTTCTGATCTTTATGCTTTGATATGGTTCGTTGCATACCATTTGCAATTGTGGAAGATTTTTTAAACTAAATTTGTTAGCATCGCAAATACGATAAATTTTTATTAGGTAATCATATTGTTTAAGGTTGGTGAGTTTGAAGGAAGATTACTGATTCCTTGACTACTGAACGTTTGATTGTTATTAAAGTACCTAAATACGTATTCTCACTTCTTGAATAACATTTTCAGATGGTTTAAATAGTAGGCAATAATCACAGTGTTTATAGTTAAATACGAAACAACAGGTTTTAAGATGTCTATTGATCAGACAGTATTTGTTTTATTGTTTGAAGACTTTCTTTTTTCTGATTACTCCTAATGAGTCTAAACTAATGTTGTCAAAGTAAACAAAATGTCATAAACAAAAATATCCTATGAAAATTATCACTAGTAAGACAAACAATTATCTCATATTTCATACACATAGTTTCCTTTATCATTCTGAAAACGGCGAGAACAATAATTCTAACAGAATTACAATCTGTAAGCAGTTGCTGAAAACCAACAAAATAAAATGAATTCCTGCAATTCTACTAAAATCTATTTTTGATGGAATTTCGTTCTCTAGGCTGGATGGTTTAGTCGTGAAGCTTTCATCAAGCTTTCCACGACTAAACCATCCAAATCAGAGAATAAAACTTTATCAAAATCATCTACCTGAGCTCCAAATCTCTTCCACCACTAGAATCTTTGTTCTATCTCATGTTGATCATATCATTTTTCTAATACAAATGAAGAAAATGAAATATTTCTACAAATATTATATTTACACATTTTTTTCAAATTTATCTCTTTACAAATCATCCAACAACCGAGATATTATTATTATAATAAAATATATAAGTAAAAATGTAAAAGATATTTTTAGAGACAAATACCTTTATTACTTATATGGTTATGTAGATTATAACAACTGATATTTGATAAGCTGTGAACATACACTAAGACATTTAATAGTTAATATAACACTCTACTATTAGATAATACAATATGATAAATTATAATATTTGAATATCTGGGAACAATATTTGATGATAGCTTATCATTGTGAACAATCAAATAGTATATGTTAAAAGTTTAAGGAAACCAAAAGGAAAATAATGGGAAAGAAAATAGATATCAGTTAAGATTTATTAATATGCTAATGAGAATGGTTAGCGTTTGTTTGTTTGTTATTTTTTAGCAAGTTAGTTTTCTAAAATTCGACGTACTTTGTTATAAGACATATTTCCATTATTACAATTACACAATGTCTTGAATATATGAGTATTCTTAATTGTAAATGAATGGTAAGAGAAAAGAATAAATGATTCACATGATGTTTAGTTTATGTTTTATGTGACTTCACGCAGTTAGGATGAATATTCTAAACTCAATGACGTTCATTTACTTTTCCGTGTATATGATATATGTGATGTAAAAGGATCTTCTTGTTAAAATATGTTTCTAAGCTTACTCACGCCTTTTACTCCTCATGGAGGAGAATAGGCCGCCCATCAGTGTTTCTAAACTTACTTGATGGATATGAACAGGATAGTAGTGATAAATACTGGTTGATATAATGAAGAAATTTTATTTATTTAACTAAGGATTCTAAAATACGTTATTCATATGTTTTATAATCTTATTTTGTTATTTACAGACGTCTCAGATGCACGAGGAATAATCTACATTTGAATTTGTTTAGTGCAATTTTGCTACGATGTGTCTTACATTTTATAAAGCACGCAGCAGACGGTCAAGGGGTAGGTGATCATCATAATAATTATAGTAATAATAAAACTGTAAATCTATTCAGTACTTTGTTACATGAAAGCATATGTTATATACGAAACTAATACCGAAAAAATTTTTCGTAAATATACAATTGCACGGCTTGATAATAAATTCGTTGAAAAGTGATTATTCCCCTGTAATTCGTGTTTTTTTAACAGTTTAAATGAGCACATGGTAAAATATCGAAAATGACATTTATATTCGTATCAAAGTTATTGGTCTAAATAAAAAAAGGAAATTACAATGCCTTATTGAAAAAACCAATGGCGGTTCAACTGAGATTAATTTGTGTTTTAAACTATGATAAGTTAGCGATCTCTGCAAACTCCCTTATTTTAATGATTATCATGTGCTTCAAAGTGTAATTCCCAGAGTTTTAATCAGAAGCCGTCACCAACGGGGTTCAACGAATTCGTATGTAAGGCATTTATTCATTGTAATCTACGAACGATTTAAGAGTTTGGGTTAATGCTTAAAGAGTTTATGCGACTAGATTTATTGTCTGATAATTTAATAACTACTAATGAAATAAATGAAATCACATATTAATTGAAATGTTATTCTTTCGTGCTATTGTGAGTATAAATAATAATGATGACTTATTCATTTAGCGCTCAATACAGAATGTAAACCATAACAACAAACGAAAAAAAAGCTTTTAAAAAATAGTTACAAAACTAATTACATAACAATCGCATATTAATTTGAATGAAATTAATATAGTAATTGGAGAAGGATATTTTTAATAGATCAGTAAGCATTCCAAACATGAATAGTAAAATGTGAATTATTAATGAAAGCAATTATAAATGATGAAATTGAAATGCTAGAAATAATTGAATGAAATGGATACACTATAAAGAAGAGACTATAATATAGTATAGTACATGGACTCTGTGTCATTTCTTAGTTACCCAACAAGATTTACAATACTCTTTTAGCTCTACTAAAAATATAATTATGGGTGAGATTATAATTTATGAACGAACCAATCAGATATAAGATAATAAGTTTTGAATTTTGGCGCGAAATTTAACCATACATTTGGCAAAATATCATTTTGGCATTATAGCTAATGTCAGTTGGTGATGGAAACCATAAATCTAATTCTTAACCCTAACCATCAACAGTAAATTCTAACCCTCATTTGTTCCTAGTTAACAAGTGAACATTCTCAAGGTCACATTAGCATCGCTCATAGGTCGTCCAAAAATTAGTCTCACCACTTATTCTTCTAATATGATCTAAAACATCTAAATAAAAATATATAACAATTCAAAACTTTTATCTTTTTTTTCATTTTAAGGTTATTTGCAAAATATTCACTACTCTTCATGTGTTTACAATTGAAGCAACATATTCTTGGGTACTTATGGAAGCACTTTATCTTCATAACAGTGTTCTTGTTCATGTAATGCATGAAAGTAGGACATCTTTTATTCTTTATGCTTCTATAGGATGGTGTAAGCTCTCAATACATTTTTATTTTTGTTTGAAATGAATTGTTTTAAAACATTATTTTTAATATTACAGTATCAAAAACAAAGTCGTTTATCACAATTACACATCATATTCTTATATCAGAAATGACTTTATTAGTATATAATGAATTTGTTCAACTGATGGAAAGCACATAATATAGATAATTGATTGAAATTTCATGTACAAGATTTCCAGTTCGGTGAATTATAATACTCCATGAAACTGGAATAGTGTTAAGATGGAGTCTATACGACTTATTATTACTAGTACAAGCCAATTAGGTAGTGATACTACTTTAAATAGAAAACATTACTTACTTACTTACACTTAATACCTATAGTGGAGGATCATAGGTTGTGAAAAAAGGTTCTTCAGCAAGCTATGTTCTGATCTCTTCCTTTTATTTACTTCCATTGGCTAGTCATTATATCGATGTCTACCTCCAAATCCCAATATCATGTGTTCTCTGGTCTTCCTCTTTTTTTTTTGTCTTCACGAATGAAAGTTAATGCTTGCCTCGTGGTGCACTTCAATGATTTCCGCAATGTTTATACTATATACGTAATCCAATGCACCAGTATTTAAAGCAACTGAAAATTCTGTCCTAATTTAAAAATACAGTAAAATCTAAATAATCTGTATGGACATTTGTATCTATACATAAGCTAAAAAATTATTATTTCTGTATTTTATGTGCTTAATGTAAACAACTATCCGAAATCTCAATAGGATTGTCTGTAATGAATTTGATTATCAGCCATCTAAAAACTGTCAATATTCAGACATATTTGAATGGAACAATTTAGCTTAAAACAACTATTTCGTATAAAGATCTGTATATCTACGAATGAAATTACAAACTAAACTGTTATTTAAGCAAAGATGGATAGTGGCTAGCAGTGTAATCCAGGACACGAGTTTCGTCCTATTTGGGAATCGTCAGCTGAATGTACCTGAATCCCACAGTTCATGTTCACAACACCAAGTGAAATTAAACTTCACCCCATTGTACAAGCAGGTGGCTATCAGGACTCGTTAACTAAGTAGATAACACGATAGCGTTTCAAACGAACGATACTGGTTTCGAGTCCCGGAGTGAACATCAACTCTGCGATGCAGGCACATCCAGTTGAAGAGTCCCACAAAGGACGAAATGCGCATCCTGGATTCCAATGATAACCACTATCCATCTTTGCTTAAAAAGCTTGTGACTTGAGGCTATATAGAGACGATTCGCACAGGATGCACATATGCCAACATGAGCAGTTCTAAATAACAATGGGAAGATACAAGTAAGACAACACCAAGCGAATTTAAATGGTTATTTTCTTATTCACTCATTTCATTCATTATTTCGAATCCATTGGTTTAGTTTCTATTAAGATATCAAAATATGAAAGTTGTAATAAATTAATTGTATTCAAACAAATTCTTATGTTTATAATTCATTATTTAAGCAAAAGACAAATAATATCTAGATTTGAAATAAACAAAATAATTATGACTGATTTCTGTCATTAGTATAGACGTAGACTTTTACAGTCGCTGTTAATGTTCAGTATTTATGACGTGAACATTGCAAAAACAATGAAATTCGACATCATTTCATGGTTTACATGCAATGATGTCAGGCAATGGTTACTATGATTATTTTGATTTAAACCTAATTTTATCAAGTGTTTTAGAATATTCAGGTTAATAACAATCGAATTGGTTTTGATCTTTGTCCTTGTCGGGAATAGCTCAATTTTAAGTTTGTTTTGTTGTTTGGTAATCTGAACTGATGAATCAGAAAGCATTGAATAGCTGTTTTATTCTCGTTCTTATCTCATCATCACGTTCATAAACATTACCGGTTGTTACAGATGAGAGTTAGTAGTTTTCAGATTCATGGGGATAGTGCCACTTTTAGACTGCTATTAGATTAAATCTTCACATCGTTCAACTAATGATACATTCCGAAAATCCTACACTGTTATCGGTGATGCATTCTTATTTTTGATACGATATATTTTTATCATATGAGCATCAATAAAAGAAATACCAGATTAAATAGATTGATCATATTTGATAGATTCTGGTTTGAATGAAGTGAATAATCTGTTTCTACCTAAATATATAGCATTTTGCATTTAATCAATAATTCCTACGTTTCCCCTTCATATTTCTGTTTTCTTGAATGTGGTAATCATTTACTGTCACCTGAAAAACAAGTGAGGGAAACCAAATTAATGATATTTTATTTGGCTTTGATGCAAGCAAAATGACCACATAAATAACATCTCTATTGGACTGATATCTATCATTTTCATGTATGAACAAATAATTCACTAGAGAAATTATAAATGAGAGGCTTATACATAAGAACGTTCGTCTAAATTTGATAGAATAGTTTCACAGTATTTGGGCGCCGAGTTGATGTGAGACATTAAAGAGGAATAATGTATTTATAAAAAGCTTATAAGTTAAATACCCTAATACGAATATCTTAAAACACTGCATCACTGTTATATCAATAAACATACTCATTATAGATGTGTGGGATATTTATATGATCACTAGTAACAGTATCTACAGACTAATTATTTTTTTATTACTTAAAAGTTTATAAACATTAACTTAAATTAGATGATAAGTAAAATATTTGAAAAGTTATTTCCAGATAAATCTTTCAACATAGCAAAAAAATATAACATTTATCAGTTCCAGTCAAAGCTATTTATCAACGAAGTGTAAATTTTAAATCAACGATGGCTAAAGGCAATATTAAGTAAAGTAGTTCAGATGTTTTTTTTCAGTGGAAATATCATCTTAGTCAATAACTCTTAAAGACGAATACTATATAAGAAATATTTTTTTGGGAGGAGGGGACAAAAGTTTCAATCATGATATTTTATTGTTCTGAAATAATACTGCCTGTAATTTTGTAAGTTTACCTAGACGATCTTTTCAAAATATCAACTTTCCTACATTTTAATAATGTAGATAATATCATATGGAATATTTAAAATGAATAAGAGTTTAGAAATGTATTATTCATTTATCAAGTAACATTACATAATATATATGACATGCAAACTATAAAAGTTAATGAAAAAATGAAAAAAAAAACAGATTACGCAACACTTATATTTATATACTTGAACAAAGGGTTTATATATATTAGACTATATCTTAATGTAAATTATAAAGGTAATACTATATTATCATTCGATTCTCATCATTCAAGAAATATTCATTATTAACATTTAAACGTTCAAAAAGAAAATGAGAGTTGATCCATTGGAACAATGTGAATTACATGAGAAAAAAAACATTCAATTCAATGAAATTCCATTTTGTTCTATTTTGTAAATATTTAAAACAGTTAAACATTTTCATTACCAATCATTTTGTATTATCTATAGTATGAAACAAATGTTTCTTATTTCTTGTCAAACTTAAATATTCTCTAAGTAAAATGAAATAAAACAAAGATTTTAGTTAATTAATGTTATAACTTATGACCTGAATACCCTGTTAATGTATAACGTAATGATACCGCCAATTAGAGAGCAGTGAATTATCAATCGGACCAATGACGCGTAAAACCCATACGAGCAGTCTAGAGTCCTCATCGGTCCTCCTTCCTGTCTAGCCCAGCCGGTTAAGTTCAGAACACCAATCTCAGCCTCTGCAATATGAATCATTTATTTCAAACATACTGGGTTTATGTACCAACCAGACGGATCACACCGTACCATAAAATATGAAACAATATTTGTACAAGAATTAGCCAAATGTAGCTATGAATGTGGGAGGTAGTGATTAATAGACTGCATAATTCAAGAATGGTAAATCGTATGATAATAATTCATAGGTTAAAATAAAGCTCATAATAAGAGGAATATGAATAGTTTAGTTATTTAACTATTATACGACAAATATGTACGCCTAATATTTGTCCATAAATGGATCCCAAAAGTTACCATTCATTATTCTCATCAGCACATAACAATTACAGAGCTAAAAATATTCATAATCGGTTGATCAATGTCATGTGTGTCATGTCCTTCTTAGTGCAGATGGGATCTTATCGACCAAGTTGCAATGTGGCCACTAGTCTAGGTGTCTCGACATGGCATGCACTATGTTGAGATTAGATAGTTGTTGGAGGTAGTCGGCAAGAAACCTTGGGCCTTGATTTTGTACTATTTGACACTCGTCAGCAAGGTGTACCTGTAATCTCGACGGAACTGATGCATCCGGACAGATTCGATCTCGTGTCATTCAGTTTTACAGTCAGAGACATTACCGCTGGGATATCTGGGTCGTGATTACAGGTACACCTTGCTGACGAATGCCAAATAGTATGAAACCTAGGTCCAGGGTTTCCGATCGCTTACCTCCAACCACCATCTTAGCTAGAAAAATAACTTTTCAAATGGAACCGTTTTTCTTTGTACTGTAAAATTATTTTGATTTCCTGATTTTTCTTCGCATGCATAAGATCTATATTTCATAATTATTCATCAAATGATTTTCATTAAAACATAAGTTTAAAAAAAATTCACTTACTTCTTTCTTCTTAGCCCTCCCAATATTGGTAATTACTGTATGGGTTTTATTGAGAATATTCGTGACAACAGGTGATCAGTGCTGGGATTTAGACATTGGTTCTGGTAGCCCAAGTAGAATACTTTTAATTGTATATCCAGCAATAATTATGTTGGTGAGTTTTTCTTATTCTGGTGCATGAATTTCAGAAGTAACTTGACTTACTTACTTACTTACTTACGCTTGTTACTCCCAATGGAGCATAGGCCGCCGACCAGCATTCTCCAACCCAAAGTAACTTGACTATAATTCATAAATCCATAAATTTAAAAACTTGGATAAAAAAATCCAATGCAACCCCTAGATAATAAAATACTAAGTTAATTAGTGCAATCAAACAGAAAGCAGCTGGTGATCTGAATGTGATGTAGTAATATAGGTCAAAGAAATTTACAAACATGCTTTCAGAACGTATGGATCTTTTAACAAGTCAGTTTTTTCACTAACATTATTTTATGCTGAATTATATTTATTACCAACTTGGCAATTATAAACACTGTTGTGGTGGATTTAAACTAAAGACTACATTTCCAGCTTGGCTATGTTGCCTTATAAAACATCTCAGTAGATTTATTGAATATTGAAAGGGTAGAGTTAGTTGCTCGTACCTGTTTGTAAGATAGATGCCCCATAATTGTTAACGTTGTTTTTCAACTGCTCCTACAGAACTCTTATATCAAACAATTATAATAAACAAATAAAATAAAATGCGGAAAATCTTATGACTTTCGATGTGATCGAGTGGCATTTCATTTAGAAAAACTTAAATCTCGAAGACGTTTTGTAACTTTCTTGAAACCTCTCAAATAGGAAATGCAACTAGTTAACTCCATGTGAATATAATTCCTCATCTGTTATCCTATACAATAAATTGTCCAGCCTCATTTATTAACGATGATAAGAAAAGTTAAGTACAAAAATGTGCAAGAAGAATATATTTCATGCAAATCAATAAATAGATGAAACGTAGACTTTGACGATTACTGGCCGATAAACGATTGGTGAATTGTGAATCATCTTATGTATAAAAATATCTAACACAAAAAATACAGATAAGCAGTTAAACTAAAGATAAAGATAGATAATAGACGTGAACACGTGAAGCACATTTAACAACGTGCATAAAAATAATTAATTTAGATACGAATAACTTAGGGTGCATATAGAAAATTACAGTAATTTTCAGTGAATATATAATTGTTAACACTCGTTAGTCACTTGCCATCTGGATTGATAATGTCTGCCCGAAAGTTAGAACTCAATCATGTAAGCGTAGACTGGTCATTTATGCACTTTGTTATAAAAATAAATAAATAACTGTATTTAGCTTCTAAATTGAAACATTTTATTAGGTTTAGTCAAGAGGAATATGAATCTAAATAACCTGTTCAACCGATCCGAGTTCCAATCTACAATCCAATAATAAAAATGAAAATTATTCATGCATAAGAGAAAATCGTTTTTTTTTGTGGTATCAGATGTTACACAATCATATAATTTAAAAAGTAACAATGAAGCACCTAAGATCCGTGAGAATAATAAGAACTTATCCTCTGTAATCAAATGTATATACATATAAGTCAAATAAAATTACCATCTTAAATATATTAAACACTAAAAGCTTAATACTTCGACATTCTTGATAAATTGGAATTTGACGTGAAATGAATTTCATGGAAGTATTTTTCATTCTCATTTGACTGTATGTTGAGTGGAAAAACTGTTCACTGGCACTTTGTTTAATTTCTAGATATTTATTTGTATATCAGTTATTTGTCAGGAATTATATCAATCATGATGAAATCTCAGGTTTTAAATAAATTTTTCAGTGGACTACTTATCAATAATTGATATTGTTACTTTACAAACTGTAGATCTTTGTAGATTTATGACGAGTAAGTTTGTCCAAAGCCATCATAGCTGGATGGAATTACCATAAATATATATCTAGTTATATATTTATTATTATTATTAACTTTATTCAATGTTATATTTTTCGTACATTAAAGAATTCTCAGAACAAAGTATTTTAGCAAGTTACCGTTTCTTATTTCTTGATCGATACTAACGATAAATGTTAAGCGATCGACAGTTACATGTTAGCATTTCAGAAATCGATATTTGAATAATGTTCATTCTTTTCAATCCATATTGCTAGCAATCGCGATATCTCCGATCAAACATTTTTGTAGCTATTACAGAGAAAGGTCGTAAACCTTTCATAAACGCACAAGGAAACAGATAACTTAGTGAAATATCTAGATGTCAAGAACACGTATTTACCTAAGTCACACCCTATATGACTGAACTTCAAAAATCATGACTCCTCACAAGAGTGTCAGTGATTAACGGAGTATTTTCATACTACAACGGAAGAGCTCTCCGATGATCGCTGATTTTCATTTGTTTTTTTCCACTAAGACCAATCATCATTAAAAAAGATTAAATTTACTTCTCAGAATTATATGACTGGATTTTGAAAATAGTTGGTAAACTGTGTTTTGTAGATACTTTAAGCATTAGTATAGACCACTGTTTGGATCATTATTTTACATAGATTTAGAACAGAAAAGTAAATTCTGATTTTCTCTTGCGTGTCTTTCCGTATTAAGTATCGAGGTTAAATTAAAATGTTGAATTCATTCTGGTTTCTTTTAAAAACATTTATTTATTTGCACAAGATAAGTATCCTTATCACCAAGCATACCATAGATTGCAATGTAGCATGGATTACAGAAAAAAAGGATTTGATATCTAGTCGCTTCTTCCTTTTTTATATAGTTAGATTTTGACTGTATGAATTATGGATTGAACAAAAATTCGATTGTTTTGTTAATATCAAAAAAAGATAATTAAAGGAAAATCTGCTTTATTCAGTTCTGTTCTTTTCCTAATACTACTATTCAATCACATTATCGAAATATAACTTGACCGTTGTGTAGAAGCACAGGCCAAACACCGACATTCTCCATCCAACTATGTTCTGAGTAATCCTTTCTAGTTGCTATTCAGCTTTTCATGTCTGCTTCCGATCCTCGTCTCACTGTGTTTTTCAGTCTTCCACTTTTACATTTCCCTTCAAGATTCAAAGTTACAGCTCGCTTCGTGATGTCAATCCATGATTTCCTCAATGTATTTCCCAGTCACCTCCAACATATTTTCCTCATTTCCTCTTCACATGGGAACTGGATTCATCTCTCCCACAGTAAGCTGTTGTTAATGGTATCCAGTCAATGGACATTGAGTATCTTGTGTAAACAATTGTTTATAAATACTTGTACATTTTGATGATGGTTGTTGTATTTTTCCAAGTTTCAGCTGAATACAGTAGAACTGTTTTTGACATTCGTATTAAAGATTCTGACTTCGATGTTGACTAAATGTTGTTTTGAGTTCCATATGTTCTTCACTTGTAGGAATTCTGCTTTTATGTCGCCATTCCCTAACTTTACGTCTGCTTAAATAACAATTTATGCTCAGTGATATACTCAAATACGTACTTATTAGCATAAAATGAATTTGATCATTATGCAATATATATATATATATATATATATATATATATATATATATATATTATAGGATGTAATCATGGTTATTTTTTTATTTTTTTACATACAGTTTAACTTGGCATTTTTTATCAACTTATTACGGGTGATATTTAACAAAACACAATCGCAACCAATGAGTGATGCCAAACGTCTAAGGTATGTAAAAAATTGCATAAGATTTAGTTACTTTACCCTCGATATGTTAATTACGACTAGGTAGTCGACTAGGGTTTCTTGTCGACTACCTCCAACCACCATCTAATCTCAACATAGTGCATGCAGTGTCGATTTACTAAGACTGGTGGCCACATTGCAACTTGGTCGATAGCATTCGGTCTGCACTAATATGAACTTGGCACACATGACATTAATCACCACCCAGTGATCAATCAATTGTGATAGTTATCAAATCCAAGTGATGGACCATGATCAAACAAAATTTTGTGAATTGATTGCACCCAAACATTGACATTTTGAATGCCAACTCAGTAGCGTAGAGTTCGCGCGCAAGGCCTTTTATCTGTGATTCAGTCACTGATGCGTGCTGCTGAAGATGCCCATACCAAGAATGCCTGTTAAATGCTTCCAGGCTTTCGCTGTTTTGTCGTCTCGTGATTTAAAAACTATGGAAATTCTCTTATCTCCACAAAACATCAAATTGATATTTAGCATTTGCCAGAACATAAATATCTACATTACTAACCTTGTTTTAACAAATAATCCTTCATGAAATGAGAACAGAACTGTAAATAAAGTATTATTAAACAATCAGTGAATATATAGTTCATTTAGACAAATAAAAACACTTCACATACAGGATTTTATTTGTTGATTGCTACATCAAATACTAAACATGATCTGGATTGAAATCACTAAACAAACATCAATCATCATTAAGAACACAATTCTAATAATGATTACACTACTTCATATCAAAGTGCATACATATTGTGTGTACACGTTAGTGTACAGTATATTGCTTTCAACAACATTCAAGTAACCATTTATAAACGTCAATTTAAATACTTATAGTCATATTATAATTCAATTATGTAAATGACAATAAACAAATTAGTTATGTTTATATTTGTGATATGATTCCTTTGAATGTATTAAATCTTATTTATCATATGGTATCATTAATTTGTATTGTATTTTGTATTGTTGTGTTTTAATTTATAGAACCTTGTTGAAATCTACTTCTGTGCTTGTTATTGTATTTGGTCTATATCATCTATTTTTAATACCGTTAAATTTAATGCAAATTAATACTCATACTAATGGACCTGGGTTACTTGAAATAATTAAACTTTATTATGAACAGATAATGGAAGCTTTTCAGGTAAACTGACTCTATATCATTTTAATAATCTGTTTTAAAACTAATCATAGTTGACAGTTTGTGTTTTTCTTAAAATTATTTATTCATTAATAAATAAGTATTAGAAAACCTCAGGGAAATCAAAATCCAGGTTATGTATGTTGTTATAAAGTTGGTCTATCATAATCAAATTTATAATTTAGTAGTCATTGGTAACCATGTATATTCGTTTAATTAAAATTAATTATGTAAGAAGCATGAATTCGACAGTCTAAAGAAATACGATGAAAGGTTAAGTATGAAAATATCAGTAGATAAAGTAGGATAGAAAGGATTTAATGCCACCGTAACAGACATCTCTACAGCATAAGGGATAAATATTCTCAAGATAATAAAATGTAAAAAGACAAGTACCAACCAAATCACATTTAATGAAGAAACTTTGGAAGAGGTAGAAACCTATTCATGCATATATAGGCAGCATTACAGATAAACAGGGATGTGAAAGAAAGGATTTGCATTCCTATAACTGGAGATCATATGATACTGAACCATCAGCCAACACCAGAGTCAGAATCTTTAATACGAATGTCAAAAACAGTTCTACTGTATTCAGCTGAAACTTGGAAAAATACAACAACCATCATCAAAATGTACAAGTATTTATAAACAATTGTTTACACAAGATACTCAATGTCCATTGACTGGATACCATCAACAACAGCTTACTGTGGGAGAGGTGAATCCAGTTCCCATGTGAAGAGGAAATGAGGAAAATATGTTGGAGGTGACTGGGAAATACATTGAGGAAATCATGGATTGACATCACGAAGCGAGCTGTAACTTTGAATCTTGAAGGGAAACAAAAAGGAGGAAGACCAGAGAACATACGATGTATGGCAATATAGGCAAGTATTAATGTAATAAATAGCAAGTGAAAATAATTAACAAAGACGGCACAGGACTGTGTAGGTTTGTAATTCTTTGTCAGTGGCCTATGCTCGAATAAGGGTAGCAGAATTAAGTAGATAACTAAGGAATTCGATTTGCCTTGTTTCTTGATATAATTAAACACTTAGTATAAGCAAAATATATATTGAATGACATTTGGTATATAACCTCAGTTTATATTTACTTAAATGTATTTAATCTGACAGACATGACTTTCTATATCATCATCAGTCATCTAAAGGGAGTTTAAAACACGTATTTTCAATGTATGAAACAAAGTTTGTTAAATAAGCAATTACAGATATTTTGTCAGATCAGTGTTACTAGTAAGATTAAAATTAATCTTGAATAACTATCATCATCTTGATGTTTATTCATTTGCAAATAATATGAAGAAAATAGCATATTATATATCTCTAAAAAACCGTTACCAAGTTCCAAATATGAGATATTTCACCACATTTAAACAACTAAGGAATGTATTCAGGTGATGAAAGCAATCGTTATTATGAAGCATAATTTCGTTTATATTTGACATATTGTCAGTTCGCAGAAGGAATAATAAATAATTGTACTATTTCTTAGCAAAGCACAAACGCTGTTTGTATTTCAAACGTGAATTAAAGAAACAAAAATGTAAACAAACTTAAGGAGCTTATTTTAAGTGATGATAACGGAATATAGATGATACAGTCCTTCATAACACATCTGCACTTGTTTAGCATTTTTTGTTATATTTGCATTAGTGGTATTTGTTAACTCTGACACGTACTCCATAAATTGTAAATATAACTTTTCAAATCCGTCATTAGCGAAGACTAACTCATATTCACACTATTTCAATATCCATTTAATCATGAACATGTATTCAGATATACATGATAAACGATATGAATCCATTCAGATAATTTAGAGTTTCCTCAGCATTTCTATTCAAGTAGTTAACGTGGAAGCTTTATTATTGATTGTTTTAATGACTAGACGATTACATTTAAAACTAAGTAGTAATGCTGAATTAAGTTATTTCGTCTTTAGACTAAGATGTTTATTTCAGTCACGCTAGCTAAATATTGCAATAATATATTTTTAATGATTTTCAGGGTTCATTTGTTGCCATTCTACTTTGTTTTATCAATAAAGAAGTAAGTCGTAATAAACGTAATGTGTTTATATTCATTGATGTTTACTCCTCTGACAAAATATCATTTCATCAGTGTTAAGTAAGTATATTATTATCTAACTATACCCTCTCACAGTTCAGTTTGTATATTATAATGTTGAGCAACTTTAGTCAAACCACCGGTAAACACCGAGCGGTAGCAAACAGCTATTTTGTTCTAGCAGAGAACTCAACATTGTTCATACACGACTGAAACAATGATGAAACATTGAGCTTTGGGTTCACAATTTGAGCACATAACCTATTAGCTACTGCTTTTACATCCAATATTCCACTTTTCCGACCTTGGTTAATTATCTATGAGACAGTTATTATCGATGATAATGTTTGCTGCTCGTGTAATATCACAAACTTGAAAGCTGTACGAAAATTCTGGGCTTAATTGTTAAAGAGTTCAACGACAAGATGCATTGACTGTCCACAGTCCTCCATTTTTCTAGCATTTATCAGTCCACGATTAAAACCTTAGACTAAACATTGCTTATACAGTATTCTATTCATATATAGAGGTATAATTTGAGCTAAAACTCTCCTCAACAAAAGACAAATTATTTTAAAACTATTTCTGCATATGTACATATTGCCTTAAATAAAATTATAGCTGCTGAGCTAAATAATATTGTTAATTAGACTTATGCACATGACCTGGTGGAAAAGTACTTCTAAGGGTAAACGATAGTACAATTGGTTGATTAATGGGAGCTGCTGAGATGGTTCAAAGGTAGATGAAGGATTTCGATAACAACAATTTTTTTTCAATATACCCTAACCTCATTTTGTTACTTATAACTATAATTTGATGGATAGCTGGCAATCTTACCACCAGTCCGTTAGTCATAAGCAACTTAACTTCACACAAGTTCAACCATATATTCCTAAGAAAAACAAATAGGGTACATGTAAATTCATATGACTTGAATTTAATATTTTGTAATGGATCATCTATTTTCACAATAATTATGTATACACTAAATTTTCAATAAATCCTTGTCTGTTATATTACAGGTTATCTCTGAATTTAAGCGTGTTTATCGACGTAAACAATATCTTCATAGTAATACAGAAAATCGGCGTCAAAGTGTTTGGTTCAATAATCAAGATATGACATATGAACCTGGTGAACGACAAATAGATATTAATCCTGGAATTAAATTATCAAAAAGCTCATCTTTCAGTTTAAAACAAAAACCTTTTACTGATAGATTTCATAAAATAATAAAACATCGGTCGAATGATAAGTTTCGAAGACCATCTGGTCTAAGAAGACCATCACCACTTTGTCGAAATAGCGCAATAATAACATAATAAAAATATTTTAAATAATATTACTTGCATAATCTTAAACTTATAGTAAAAATTCTTATAGATATTGTTAATACTTATCATCCAGGATATTTTCAATCTTTATTTCCTTCTGATACTATCTAGTTAAGTTCAGCTTTCCTTCTATATAAAACAGACAGAGTTATCTAAGATGTATAAAATTCAATTGATAAAGATACACAGAATCTACTTCTTACGGTTCCAAAAATTTAGATATTAAATGATATAGGTTTGTTCGAATTATTGACGATGATGATGTTGATGAACATGTTTTGTATAAATAAGCATAAGCCATTCAAATGAATTACATTTTATTTGATTATTAAAGTTTATATCTTGTTGAATACTTCTGTTTGTTTTTTTATTTTACCAACTTCACTGCTGTACAAAAGATGATTTCTTTAAAATTAATTGAATGTAAAACTAGTATTGTATTATTTTGATATTAAAAAGAAAATAATAATAAAAATAAATAATCTATATCGATTTTTAAATGATCAATAATATTTATGATTTAATAGATTGATAGGATTAAATAAAATCTATTAAATTTTTATTTATTTAAATGACAACTGAAATGAAAATTTCATTGATCATTATAACCATAAATGGTAGTTTGTCGTTTTGATATAATACTAGACTATTATAACACTATTCAGATGCAGACGTAAAGGCGAGGATTGGCAAAGCAAGGACAGCATTCCTTCAATTAAAGGCTGATCACAGTAACAGAACAGTCATTTTTCATAGGATCAAGGAGAGCGAAAGCTCCGAACCAAAAACTCGTTTTGAGCATGACATTGTCCTGATAAAACAGCTACTTAATCAACACATGCCTCAAAATATCTCCTGAGTCACCTTGCTAAAGGTGTATAGACTAGGTAGTTTAGCGAACGTGAAGCCTAATCAATCTAGACTGCTTAAAGTAGTATTCAAATCTTCGAATGAAAGGGACTTAATTTTACAGAATGGACATAAATTAAAGGGTTCGGAAGTTTTTTTCCGAAAGGACTTGCCGTTGGCAGACCGTGTAAAAAGACGGGAAGCCGAAAAAGAACTACAAATTAGGTTAGACGCTGGCGAAAAGGACCTGAAAATTGTGAATTTTCGGGTTGTGAGTCTTCGTCAGAGAATGATACCGAAGCCACTCTGGGTGAAACACGAAGCCACTTAAATAGGCTACGGATCTGTTGCACTGATGCCCGAAGCTTGCTCAATAAGCTATCGTAACCAGGTGAACAGATTGACTCCACAGAGCCAGACATAATCGCAGCCACAGAAACCTGGCTGACACAGTCTATAGATAATATGGAACTCGATTTTGAGGGTTTTACTTTAGTAAGGACCGACAGAATACATAAGCGTAAAGGAGGGGGAGTAGCTCTATTCATTAGGAATGCTATCCTGTTTGCCATTATTGATAGTGTATCCCATGAAAGTGGGACGTGTGAATTGGTTGGTTGCCGCTTGAAATTCAAGGGGCAAGAGCTGCTGATTAGTTTGGTCTATTGCAGTCCAAGCTGTGAGGTACATGATGTCCTGCTAAACAGGCTCAAATATTGGTCACGAAGTGGTCGATGTCTAATCCTAAGGGACTTTAATGCACCTATGGTAGACTGGGGAAATATGCGAACTGAATCGTCAGATAATTCCTTCGAACAGGAACTAGTTGATGCGGTTATAACATGTGCCCTAGTGCAACATGTGAAAGAAGCGACTAGGTACGACCCGGACACTGAATCATCCTTACTAGATCTTATATTAACTCACTATGAGGATGACGTTGCGAACCTCCTTTACATGCCACCCCTAGGTAAAAGTGATCATACAGTTTTAACTTTTGACTTCCATATAACTGTCAATCACGATCAAGCGTCAACTCAATCCAGACCTAACGTCTGGAAAGCAAGCATACCAGATATCATACACTCGGCATCATTAGTAGATTGGACAATAGACCCAGAGTCCTCAATTGAAACGGCTTGGGATGCATTCCGAAATTTATACTTAAAAGTTACCGCACCCCACATTCCTTGGACTATACCAAGGGGGCCGAGAAACTCCCCACCATGGTTCAATAGGGAGGTCCGCATCCTTCTCCGTAAGTGAAGAAAAATGTGGGATAGATTTAGGTTACTGGGGACTGATGAGAAAAAATCTTAGTACCGAAAAGCTAGGAATACCTGTGCCTCGACCCTCCGTAAGTCTAGAAAGCTGTACGAAGAAAAAATTGTTAAGGAATCCATAGAATGTCCTAAACGCCTGTATTCCTATATAAACCAAAGGACAAAAAGAAGAGGAATTATTCGTGCACTATGGGGAGACAGTACTGCCGCATCATTAGTGGAAGATAACTTTGGTAAGGCTCAAGTGTTCTCAAACTACTTTAGCAATGTATATACCATAGACGCACCCTTCCCGTCAGCACATACAAACCTCCCCACACATACACTGGATAACGTGACCATTAATGAACTCGGTGTCTTTGATCTGCTAAATAAGCTTGACATAGGTAAATCCATGGGGCCCGATGAATTGCATCCTAGGCTACTAAAAGAATTATCTAACTTCGTTGCGAACCCTTTAATTATATGCTTTAAGCTATTCGTTACGCAGGGTCGTTTACCAAAAGACTGGAAGAACGCCATAGTAAGTCCTGTCTTCAAAACAGGTACGAAACATAAACCTGAGAATTACCGACCCGTTAGCCTAACTAGTGTGGTTGTTAAAATCTCAGAAAAGATTATTCAGAAAAAGATGTTTAAATACCTCGATGTAAACCGAATCCTCTCGGAGAAACAGCACGGTTTCAGAATAGGTTATTATTGTCTCACTAACTTATTAGTCACTCGAGAAAGCTGGTGCGCTTTTAAGGACCAAAAGTTACCTGTAGACGTGGCTTACATTGATTTCAGCAAAGCTTTTGACAAGGTTCCGCACAACCGGCTTTTATATAAGCTAAAACATGTCGGAATTGGAGGCAATCTATTGACGTGGATAGAAGACTTCCTTGTTGGGCGCCAACAAAGAGTACGGGTAAACTCAAAATTATCTAGCTGGGAAGCTGTGCTTAGTGGAGTGCCCCAGGGTACAGTTTTGGGGCCAGTGCTATTCCTCTTGTATGTAAATGACCTTCCTAGCTTACTATCATCATCGGTCTTGCTATATGCTGACGATGTCAAGATATGGAGAACGATACGATGTAAGGGTGATAGCTTAGAACTCCAAAATGACCTGAAGAAATTATCCGAATGGTCTCATACATGGCAGCTGCCGATAAATACTTCCAAGTTTGTTGTGATGCATATCGGTCACCAAGGTTCAGATACATACACGATGAATAACACTGAGCTACCTGTTGTCCAGACACATAATGACTTAGGAGTCATCATTAGCCGAGATCTGAAGACTACTGCACACTGCCGTGCAATAGCCACCAAAGCTTTTAGAACTTTATGGTCAATACGTAGGGCTTTTACTCATGTCGACGCTCAAACGTTTTTGATTTTGTATACAGTGTTCGTACGTCCTAAACTTGAGTACTGCATACAAGCGGCTAGCCCCTGCTTAAAAAAAGACAGTGGGCTTTTGGAAAAGGTCCAGAGAACAGCAACTAAGCTGATTGCCGGAATAGCGAAGCTTCCGAATGATGCTCGACTGACCAAGCTAAACCTATTCCCTTTGTCATATCGTAGAACTAGAGGCGACTTGATTACAGTTTTCAAATTGCTTAGTGATAAATTTGCACCTGATATGCCCTCATTTTTCCTGTCTTCCAAAACAGAGAATTTACGAGGATACTCCAAAATAGTTCACAAGCCCAGAACAGATTACTTGTCAGCTGATTATCGACTTTCCCACCGAATCATCAACGAGTGGAATTCATTACCTCAACACGTGGTTGAAGCTCCATCCGTAGATTCTTTCAAAAGAAAGTTGGATCAAATGAGAGAACACAATTGCCAGGACCAATACAGGCCATCAAGCCTCCTGTCCTTTCCAAACTGAAACTGAAACTGACATGGAACTCAAAACAACTTTCAACCAATATCAAAGTCAGAATCTTCAACACGAATGTCAAGGCAGTTCTACTGTACAGAGCTGAAACTTGGAGAACTACAACAACCATCATCAAGAAGGTACAGGTATTTATCAATAGCTGTCTACGCATGATACTCAACATCCATTAGCCGGACACCATCATCAACAGCCTTTTGTGGGAGGGAACAAACCGGCTTCCAGCTGAAAAGAAAGTTAGGAAAAGACGATGGAAATGGATAGAACTTGCATTACGGAAATCATCAAACTGCATCACGAGGCAAGCGCTGACTTGGAATCCTGAAGGGAAGCGGAAAAGAGGAAGGCCAAAGAACACATTATGTCGGGAAATAGAATTAGATATGAAAAGGATGAATAAGAACTGGAAAGAGCTGGAACGGATTGCCTAGGACAGGGTTGTATGGCGAAGGCTGGTGAGCGGCCTATGCTCTTTCACGAGGAGTAGCTGGCTTAAGTATGTAAGTAACATAAATCAGTATGGTACATTTGTAATCTTGAATGCAGTGATTCTTCTATGAAATTTAAACCTTTGTTATACTGGATTACAGCCAAAAAAAAATATGAGAGTAGAAATAATTAAAATGTAGATTCAGTAATTTTTGTTAACTTTAGCTCATCATTACAAATTTAAATGGATCACAATAGAGAATCAACAATTCAACTGTTTGTATTAGAAATTCATTTAAAAATTTCGATTAATAAGATTAATAATAACACTACACAAAATTAGCTACTAATTATCAGTCTATAAGCATCTAAGGATAATATTCTTGGAAATTATTACACATAAGTGAAGCTTTATATTTCAATGGTTAAAAGTATTAATTTGTGACTATTTACAGTGTAATTTTTAAATGGAGTGAACGTGTTTATTGGGGCCCTTTATTTTGTCGTCATTTAGATCGGATGAAGTTGTTGACGCGTTCTCCACTTTAGTGTCGCGAGATCTGACTCCAAGTAGATCGTAATAATATTTGCTTTTGAAATATATATGTCGCCTATCCTTGTATATAATCATCGACTTAAATCGCGTTAGTCAATAACGGAATTAAATAAGCCAAATAACGAGAATGGACTTTTGAATATATACATCTTCTATATAAAGCGAATGGAATAGAGTGAAATGAAACGACGCGCAGTGAAGATGGCAGGAAAGCAAATAATTAACAAGGTCAAAATGTGACTCAAGTTGAATGAATAGATTGGCCTGTTAGAAAGCTAGAATAAGGCATATGTGCTTAACATAGTAACTGATCATATTCGAGAATAGGCGACTCATATAATTCGAAAGTAAATATTCATATGATCAACTTAGAATTAGATCTCAGGCCGCTAAAGTGGAGAGCGCGTCAACAACATCGTCCGATCTAAATGACGACAAAATAAATGGGCCCCACTAAAACCTTTCTCAATTAAATGATAAATTTAATT